AGTGGTACGGCACTGGCTACATTTCTCATCTACGGTGGAGGATCCAGACGCCCACTGGAGATGACAAACTTCCTGGTGTCCAAAACAGACACACAATTACTTAAGCCGATTGTGCTGGGGAGCACAGCACAATCCAAACGAACGCGACTACAAAAAACACCGATTTAGGGGCGAGTCTGCAGGTAAATGGTAAGTGATGATACAGCTCGCGAGACAAGGACCCCCTCATGACTCGTTGGGACTATCGGCTTTCGCACCTTAAAGTGAGAAAGCTATACACCGCGGTAAAGTTATCCTGTTTTCTGCCTTTGGGAGGATTGATTTCGAAATCCCCTGACGTCTCGTTGACGGCCAAATACATGGCATCATTCCCGCTATAGGCGCTGACAGCTGAAGAAGCGGAGGGCTTACCTCGTTATGTTCGCGCTCCTGGCTTTGTGATTGGTCCTCCGGCGTTCCTATCGACTAGTGCCACAATGGAATTGACTGCGGAGCGAGGATAAGGTATTCGGGATTCGTCACGTCCCTGCGGCGTTTCTTAAGTTGTCAGTCACTATTGTTACTCATGTGCAAGCGCACTTAAGTGCTGGGTACATGCCGTGATCCGAACCCTTTGAAGTCAAGAAATGTACACAACATTTACCGTAAACTGCTCAGGTGCAGTTTAACAGAGTTTTTTTCTTGTCAGTTTAAATTTCTATAAACTAGCAAAACCTCGAAGTTTCCCGTCGAATTTCCGCTCTAATGTTTCGATGCACACTCAAACAAACCCATGACGGAAGCTATGGACGCGCTACCTATAGGCAATCTATATTCTGTAAAGCCCGCACGAAAGGCTGGTCCCTTCATTGAAAGTCTCTCAAGTACTAAACACCTAAAACAATTTTATAGTCTAAAAATTCGAAATGCCTGTCAGCATTATTGAAAGCGTTTAACATTCGATCAGACCTTACTTAGGCGGAAATTACATTTCTGTAGTTTCATTACGTTCTCGAATAGTTTGAAAAGGTAATTAATTATTTTAAATAATAGAAGGCTTTCTAGCGGAAGTCACCGCTCCCATGTGTTTGTTCGCCCGTTTTTCCGTCCGTCGCCCCTTCCTCCCTCCGTGCATTCCCTCCCTTAATTTAGCGGCGAAATTCCTTTGATGTAAAATTATACACCGGGTGGATGCTAACAGCTGTGCCCTTTATAAGGGACGGTAGTTTCCGCTACTTAGCCTAGACGCCATACATAATAAAGAAATAAAAAAAAATAATTTATCTATGAGCCAGCGTCCGCCTAAGCCGAATATTGTCAAAACAAGCAATTACATTGTGAATGCCTGTAGCATCTATTAATGGGGGAAAAGAAGAGTTTGTGAGCAATAAAGAAAGCGATATTCTGTTTTTTGCGCACGTGTGTGTGTTTCTGCTTGTGTTTGTTTTGTTATATGAATCCCACACCTTCATAATGCCCTTTCTTGTTTTGAAAATACTTGACTTGGGGCCGACGTCGGTTCATAGGGACCTTTTATCTTTCTGCATTAACTTTTGATCCAGGTACCGTCATGTTCTCAAGTATTCTCGTTTTATACCAACCGCAAGCGTCACATTCTCATAGAGAGTGAGATTTCTGCGATGCATACTTTATTTATGCGGGTCAAAAAACACGGATCTCTTTTCTCAGGAACGCCCGGTATTTCGACTTGTCTCAATTTCACCGCGGTGTATTGCGTGGAGAATCTTTAAGCGAAGACTTCGTCTTCTAGATTCCAGCGGCTTCCAGTCTAGTTGCGTTTTCATAGCAGTGACACTTTCCTTATAACTGTATTTTGTTTGAACAAATCTAGCCGCCTTCTTTTGCACTTTTCGATTTTATTTTTTTTTTCTTACTAAATAGGACTCGTAGGAGTCATACAAAAAGTGGCGTACTCTAGGATTGGCTTGACGTTGAAAAAAAATGTTTAAATTCGGAGGACAGTCCCGAAAACTTTGCCTTAAAAGAGTTAACACCCTTTATTAACATTTTATTAACTTTAAAAAGACAAGGGGCCCTAGCAGGCACGTACCCGGGATTTTGTTTGGGGAGGGGGAGGGGGGGGGGGGGGGGGACGGCGGCCCGCCGCTTATGACAAAATGTTGTATGAGGGGGAGGGGAGGCCTCAGCAAAATGGAAGATTTCGGACGGGGCCCGGGCTCATCCCCCCCTTCTCCCCCCTAAATACGTGCCTGGGCCCTACTGTACAGTAGAAGAATATAAATCTGGGCGAGTTAGTGATCCATTGGAAGGAGAAAACAGAGCAAGCAAACGACGGACCAGTAGAAGGGTGTACACAAAGACAAGGCGCTGACTTACAACTAAAATTTAATAGGAAAAACACGAAGGCCGCGAAAAAACCCGAACAATCCACCACACCCACGTCATCACACACCACGTTCCCATTGGCCAAGATATTCTATCTCTTCTTAATACAAAGCCACAGAGGGAGCACTGACACACGTACGCTCCCTACACCGTGATATATAAAGTGCATACACTACCTTCCTCGTCCTTTTGTTGTTGTGTCGCATCGTTATTGTTGTCTTTTCAAACTTAGGGGCGCACCCACACCTGTCGCAATGAATCGCCAAATGACCGGCAAGGGAGGATTTCACAGATAGTGCATGCTCCCTTAGTCGGTCGTTGACGCATCTACCAGACTGTCCAATATACTGCTTACCACACGATAGTGGTATTCTATACACAATTCTCACTTCGCACTCTACGAACTGCGTTTTATGCTTCTTTTCGTATCGTGCCTGCGTGTGCTGCTCCCCTAAGAATTCTACCACACAGCTTCTACAGAAGAGGAGCAAATAACCAGGACTTTCTTAATTCTGTGGCTGACCTTGTGGACATTGGGCACCCCCCCCCCCCCCCCCTACCGGTCTCACTCTCGGTTTGCACTTCTCTGAGACCACAGCAGTCTCCCGAAGCCTTTGCAGCAGTGATTCAGCACTTTTTACAGGAATGGGTGAATCACGTTGCATCTAGATAGTTGGACGCTTTTCCGTTAACTAACTTTGCCTGTTTGTTTCTAAATATTTTGGGATAGTCACTAAGCCAGTGAAGATGACTGCCTGGGGCATTCAGCGACCTAACTCTTTCAGTGTTCATTTATGAGGGACCATGTTCAACGACTTCTGGAAGTCGAGGAAGACGCAGTATACCTGCACACCATTACCAAACGAGTAAGCAATATCATGGTAGAATATGAATAGTAGTGTGTCACACAATAAAACTCTTCTGAATCCACGCTGGTTAGGATTAAAAAAAATGTTTTAGTTGAGATGCTTCAGAACGTTGTTATAAACGATATGTTCTAATATTTATTGAGAAGAGAAATATCTCTATAGTTGTCAACCTTACCCTTTCATCCGGATTGGTGGACAGGAAACACGCGTGCAGTTTCCATTCGCTGGGCGTGCAGCCAGATGTAAAAGAGCTATCAAACAGCCTAAACAAAAAGCTGGATAAAATACCCGAACACTCCTACGGCTGGGCATACCACCCGGCCCACTAGCTTTGTTTATATTTGAATTATTTTTCGGTTTTAGAATTGTGTTTTGGCTTAGTTTATTACCGAACATGCACTCCTCTAAAGGTGAGAAAGTAGGGAGGAGGGCAGCAGCATCTAGGTCACAAAAATTCTAATTTAAAATAATTATTGAAAAGCCTCGCTATATACATATAATTATCTGCAAACCGACCCAAATCGCGGATAGGCGAAATGCCTGTCCCATTAACTGTTTCCGCTGTTCGGCGCCACCAGGCTCTGTATCATTCACTGCGTCCTCCTTGAGCACTTCCGTTTCCTTCGGCGAAAAGAACCACTCGGCAGGCTGTTATTCCCAGAGGAGTAAGAACCAGAATCCAGCGGCTGTGGGCAATTATTCAACTTAAGAAACCCTCAGCATTTTTAGTTATGAATAAATATAAAGTCTGAGAGCTCATCTTTTTTCGTTGTTATTATTTAGAAAATAGAAATCGCAAAGCAAATCAAATCTATGTCGCGCGTTGCTCTTCGGGTTTTATCACCGTCACCTCTTTCTATGATTTTTTTCAGTTAAGCTATTCAAGCATGGCTGCATACCCAAAAGCGACGGAACAAGTCCAGGGCATTCAGACATGGCCACGACAAGAGTAGTATTCAAGACATGGTTTTACCAGATTCCTAAATAAAAGTGAATGAAGACTGAGGAAGCCTAAGCGTTTCTTATGACCGAGTGCTTTATATTTTAGATTGTGTTCAGAAAAATTTGGGCAAGATGGGTGCAGCATTTTCCCAGTCCGGAGCAAAGGCCAGAATTGAAATTTTGATTGGGATAAGCAACAATGGAGAGAACTGTAGTTCCAAGTTCTTCCGCATCGACCTATATTTGCCTGATTTGGCCCCCTCGGAGTTTGATCTGTTTCTGAAACTAAAACATTTCCAGGTTGGAAAAAGATTTCGGTCGATTGAAGTAGTGATGGAGGCTGTCAAGCTTTAAGTATGTTTCTTTGAGGAACTTCAAAGACAGTTTCTTCCGGAAAATGATCGAGAAGCTGGAGAAACCTCGGACTATGAGTATTGAGCTTCAGGGGGAGTATGTTTAAAAATAAGATATGCCTTGAATCAAATTTATTTTGTTTTCATTTTTATTCCGGAAACATCTCCATATACACTCGTGACTATAAATAACCGTAAGTGACTATAAACAACCGTATCGCCACACTCTGAATTTGAAGAAGAAACTGACCACTCAGAAGCAGTAGACCTTTCCCAAAAATTAAGTTTCACCTGGTGGCTCAGATAGCAGTAACTTTGAACGTACTAGTGTTATATTCAGTTTCGGTATTCATTTGTGTTCTTTCACCCCCAGGGGGCGCGTCCTTCCTTTGTGTATATATTTGATGTATCGTGCAGAATAAAGGCGGTTTTCCGTCCGTCCTTCAGAAACATCACATTGGCGACGAGGATGTAGCCCGTTCCAAGCTACCTTCGGCATCCCGTACCGTCCGGCTACGCCCGCCCCGCCATGAGCTTTCCCGGCCTCGCTCTGCCGCCGCCGTTCTTCCAGACGCACGGCCGTCCGTCCCTGCCATGGGAGGAGTGGGAGCAGACTTTTACAGTCTACCTTCTAGCGTCCGGAGCAGCTGAGTGCCCACCAGAGCGACGCAAGGCCATTCTTCTGCATTGTTTGGGGGCGGAAGGGCAGCGTGTTTTCCGGACTTTACCTGCAGGGTCAAGCGCCGCAGCACCGGCAGTTCAAAAGAAGCCTACAGCGGCCACTACTGACGTGTACGCGTCTGCACTCGCCGCCTTACGGAAGCAGTTTTCGACGTCGTGCAACGTAGTCGTCGAGCGTCATCGTTTCCACCGCCGCAACCAACACGCAGGCGGGTCTGTTCATGACTTTGTTGCTGCTTTACGGCAGCTCGTTTCGCATTGTTCGTTCAATTCACAAGATGAGGCTCTCCGTGACCAATTTGTTGCCGGCGTTGCTTCCAATCGCGTACGTGAACGGTTCCTACTCGAGGGTTCCTCCCTGTCGTTCGAGAGCGCTGTACGAATCGCTCTTCAGTTTGAGCAAGCAGCTGAAGAACTAAAGGAATTCTCTGCTTCAGTCGAGCCTGTTTCTGTGCGTCGTCTGCATTCTTCGCGAAAAACCAGTTCACAGCCAAAAGAGCATTGTCAGCAGAACTCTCAAGGAAAGCGAGCGGTTCACGTGCGTCGCAGGGGCACCGCCCCCCTCGGCGAGACAGAGATAGCCGGTCCGTTTCACCTCACTGTTTTCGGTGCGGCTCGCGGAACCACCGCGCATCAGCGTCACAGTGCCCAGCGCAGGGAAAGAAATGTTCGTTTTGCGGCGTCAAGGGCCACTTTCAGAAAGTATGCAACCGCAAGCGACAAACGCAAGGCAGGGTTCGTGAAGTTGATCTTGATGACGATGTTTTGTCAAGGGGAAGTTCTGAGCAAGTTTTGACCGTGCAGCATTCTGCTCGCAGAGCAATATACATAAAAGTGGGCGTGGCGGATGTCAGCTTGACATTTCTTGTTGACTCGGGGTCGTCTGTTTCGATTCTGTCTGAACACGCATTTCGTCGACATTTTGAAAACGTTTTGCTCCTTCCAGCTTCGCACGTCACCTTGCTTGATTTTTCTAAGCGTCCAATTTCCGTGCTAGGGTGTTTTCAGGCAGACGTTCAATTTAAAGGGCGCTCTGCACCACTTCTTTTCTACATCGTTCGCCAAGGCACCTGTCTGATTGGCCTCGACGGCATTAAGGCTCTAAATCTTCGAATTCAGGGTTCCACTCTCGAGTGCCTGCACACGTCCGTCGCCCCGCCGCCGCGTGGCAATGACCCGACACCTTCTCACATTCCAACGCAGTCAAGAGAGCAACCGAGGCAAGCAAACCTTCCGCCAGCCTTGGCACCCGACTTCGTTTCACTTTTCAGTCCTGAGTAGGGCCTTGCTAAGCGATTCACCCATCGTGTCAAAACTCGGTAAGGCGTGCAGCCGGTAATTTCGAAGCTTCGTCGTCTCCCATATTCACTCCGGGAACCAGTAGCAGATGAACTTCGCAGGTTGCTGAGCCTTGACATCATCGAACCTATCGATGCTTCTGAATGGGTTTCCCCCATTGTTGTCGTTGACAAGAAAGATGGCAGCTTCAGAATCTGTGTTGACCTTCGGGAGCCTAACAAGGCTATTGTACCAGACAGCTTCCCATTGCCTCACACAGAGGAACTTCTTCATGCCTTGGTAGGCGCGACACACTTCTCAAAGCTTGACTTGGCTTGCGCCTACCATCAGGTTCTTTTGCACCCTGACAGCAGGGATCTGACAGCCTTCATTACGCATGAAGGACTCTTCTGATTCAAAAGAGTTTGTTTTGGGTTAGCTTCTGCCCCAGCGGCATTTCAGAAGATGATGGCCATAATTCTTGATGGCTGCTCTGGAGTGTTGTTCTACATTGACGATGTGATAGTCTTTGGGAAAAGTGCAGAAGAACATCTTTTGAATCTAAAAACGGTCTTGCAGAAGGTCAAGGACGCCGGCCTGAAGTTGAACAACAAATGCCTCTTCGACGTTCCAGAACTTTCCTTCCTAGGCCATAAGGTCACGGCACAAGGTATCGCACCACTTCCAGAGAGTGGACTCGATAATTAACACTCCAGTGCCAACAGATGTTGCGGCCCTCCGGTCGTTCCTAGGTCTTGTCGAGTACTATTCCAAATTCGTTCCACGCTTGGCCGAAGTGGTCGAGCCTATGCGCGTTCTGCTTCGCAAGAATGAGCCTTTCATCTGGTCAGCTGAAACAGACAGCAGTTTTCGGAGAGTCAAGGAAATGCTTTCTTCGGGTACAGTTCTCCACATGTTCGATCCATCACTTCCAGTCATCGTGTCGACCCACGCTTCCGACTGCGGTTTGGGAGCTGTCCTGCAGCAGCAACATGGCCACGAGCTCCGCACAGTTGCTTTCGCGTCTCGCAGCTTGTCACCAGCTGAAAGAAAGTACTCGGTTGGTGAACGTGAAGCATTGGCATGTATTTGGGCGTGCGAGCGATGGCACACTTACCTGTGGGGTCGCCATTTCAAGATTCGTACGGACCATCAGGCGTTGGTATCATTGCTATCGTCGCAGGGGCGTGGAAGAAGGCCACTTCGGATTGCACGCTGGAGTGCACGACTCCTGTGTTACAATTTCACGGTCGAGTACCGCAAGGGGTCCACCAACACTGTGGCCGATGCCCTTTCTCGGTTGCCAGCTCCTACGTCGGAGGCAGAACTTTCCAAGGAAGAAGAAAACGTCTCGTTGGTCGAGCCGGCCTCCATGACGAAGGAAGAATTCAAGCAAGCCGTCCTCAACGACGATTGCCTGCAAACCGTCAAGTCGTTCGTGTGCGGCTCTTGGCCACCACAAAAGCCCGTACCAGAGGAGGCAAAACCTTTCTACTCAGTGCGCGAAGAGCTTTCTATTGTTGATGACCTGCTGCTGCGCGCAGAGCGCCTCGTTGTTCCGTCCACCCTTACAGCTCAGTTCATCGCAGTTGCCCATGAGACACATCCGGGCATCACGCGCACAAAGGCGCGACTTCGTGAGCTATTCTGGTGGCCACGAATGGACAAGCAAGTGGAATCGGCCGTGAAAAACTGGCCACATCTGCCTGGAGGCAGATAAGTCTGCCAAAACATCGCCAGTGCCATTGCAGCCTGTTGAGTGGCCTGAAAGACCCTGGCAGAAACTGGGCCTAGACATTGTTGGCCCATTGGAGCATGCACCTCGCAATAGCCGATTTGCTATAACATTGGTCGATTACCATTCCAAGTGGCCAGAGGTATATTTTTGCAGCGAAGTGGCCACAAGCACCGTAAAAGAATTCTTAACCAGTGTCTTTGCCCGTGAAGGATACACGGAGGAGATTGTTTGCGACAATGGGCCGCAGTTCACTTCACGTGAATTTATAACCTTTCTTCAAAACCGAGCCATCAAGCTGTCGCACTCATCGGTATACTACCCCCAGGCGAACGGGCAAGTCGAAAGGCTTAATCGAACTTTGAAGAACTTCATCCAAGTTTCACTCCTCGAAAGGCGACCTATCCGACAAGCAGTCACTGACTACCTTGCTATTTACCGTTGCACTCCACAGGCTACCACTGGGGTTGCCCCAGCAGTTCTGCTGCATGGGCGGATGCCTCGAACCAGGTTGGATGTTGTAGGGTTTTCGGCACCAGCGTTCGCAAAAGACCCAGTAAAGGAACTGGCGCGACTGCGTCAAAGGGTCCGGCTTCAACAGCAAAGCAGCAAGGAGTACACGGACCGGAGGAGAGCTGCTAAGGAGCCGAAAATAGCAGTGGGCGATTTCGTTCGTGTCAAGAAGCCGTCACTTCGCTTCAAGGGAGATCGCGCCTTTTCTTCGTCAACTGAAGTGTTGGCGAAGAGGGGACCTGTCTCTTTCAGACTTGGAGATGGCCGCACATGGAATGCCTCCAAGCTTTCCAGGGTTCCAGAGAGGGGCACTAGTCCACCGCCCCAACGTTCAGAGCCACCTGCGCAGCAGCTTCCGGTTCGAGTGCCGCAGCCTGACCTGCCGCCGCCGCCTTCTCCCGGGTGGCAGCCGCCGCCTCCTGGCGGACTGCAGTCTGCCGCAACGCAGTCGCCCGTTCCTAATCCGCAGCTGCCTGGACTGGAGCCTGCCATGCTGCAGCCGCCTTCTCCTGGGCCGCAACCGCGGTCCCCTGGGGTACCGCAGCGCTCTACAAGCTCACTACCATCCCCAGCCGTGCAGCGTCCCCATCGCCCGTCCCGAGAGCGCCGACAACCGGCCTGGCTCAAAGACTATCAGACCGACTAGTTGTCTATGTGTATAGCAGTGGTTATGTAGTGTGTAAATATGTACAGTGCATGCTTAGGGATATCTAACACTTACTAGCAACTAATCACTACGAATAAGGAAGGGAGTATGTTATATTCAGTTTCGGTATTCATTTGTGTTCTTTCACCCCCAGGGGGCGCGTCCTTCCTTTGTGTATATATTTGATGTATCATGCAGAATAAAGGTGGTTTTCCGTCCGTCCTTCAGAAACCTCACAACTAGTTAGAGTAATTACCCTCTAGTCTAGTATTTTACCTTGCACTGTCACAGTCGGAAGTCAACGGCAAAGTGGGATGTGCTCTGATCACTAGATAGCCCTTTCTCGGTTTTTTTTGGCTTTTTTTTTTTCACTTTCGATTGTGAGGGAGATACAACAATTCAACACGAAGCGCCTCCCCACTTAAACGCCTGCATAACATTTCATACATTAAGGGGCTTTAAAGACGATGGTGTGCCGCGAACAAACTGACTGGACCCGAGTAAGAAATAAACGCTTATGCAGTTCTTCTATTCAATTCCACATATTGCATCGATTCAACATCTACAATGAACAGGACTGCATTAGTTTTACACAATCTGCTCTAGAGCATCTTCAACTTCTTTTTCATTAGTGTCAAAAGGCCAC